GGCGATTTTTTCCTTAAATATTTTCGGCAAAAATAACCATTTGAAAATTTTCCTTAAAGTACGAGATTAATTATTACAAACAAAATGATTGTTGATGGTAAATATATTTTACAGAAATAATTTTATAATATTCCCTACACAAAATCATCCGCTGGTATAAAATGTCTTAGGTAGTTAGTTATATTTATATATGCATTTGTTTTGACCATTGTGCCAACGCAACACCAGTGGCTAATGGGTTAATGTTTTGGCTTTTTAGTGTATGATAGTGTTAATTTTTGCTTTTTTTTTAATATAGTATGTGGCTATGCATGGTTTGAACAATGAGTTAAGAGAAAAAATTTCAAGCCACATAATTTACATCTGGGACTCAATACCACTAAATGCATGATGTTGCCACTCCCATAAAGTTTAGCATTTCCTATTTGGTATTATTTAATCATTAATTTGTCTGATCTATGAATCTATAACCCAGTTTGGTTTAGAATACTGCGATCGGAGAATTACCATTTATATCCATGCAGTTTTTAATTTACGCTACTACAGAAATACTGAATGTTGTATATCATTGAGATGTACGGATCATTTGATATTATGTTAACATGCTATTATTATGATTATGTTAACAAAATTTGTAATTATGTTGAGAAGTAAAAATAAATTGGTTTTAAACTAGGTTGGAATTTTGAGTCAAATCACATACAATATTTTTTGAAGGAACTACAGCAGGTGGAAATTTTAAGGTATGCATTGAATGCTCATTAACCTACTGAAACAAAAGATCACAGGAAGACTGCAAAGGGAAAGATAATGGGAATCACTGGATTGTTATAACCACTATTAGTTTTTGAGAGAAATAACGATCCATTAAAACCTTACACCTATCTTTATCAACAGCTTCTCAGACTTAATATCCAAAAGATGCTGCTGATTTTATGGCACTGTATCTACTCCACTTTTTATATCCATGAAGGAGAAATATAAAGACATTTGAAAACAATTTTTTAACACTTGAACGAGCAATTTCAAAACACATGTGAAAACAATATCAGAACTCCAAAAACTGTGCATTCCCCCCAGGATTAAGTTGAATATTGCATGAATATATCAACATCATAAATTTCAAAATTTCAAAATCATAAATAAAAATGATATATGGAACATATTTGAGGTGGCATACAGAAAAAGGAGATAATAAAATGTAGCTACCATTTTTATTTTCAAATTCATATCACAACTTAAGTATGTAAAAGGAAACAGACACATACCTTGCATTTATGAAAATTGAAAAAATTTCATACGTATGATAATTAAATACTGCAAAAGCAGTAATATGCAGTTTGCCTTAAATTAATAAAGGTTTTATTTAAATTAAGTACCTATCAAGTTCAGGGTTTGTACACATTTCTGCACACAGAAATTAAGAACTTTTAAGGACCATTAATGAAAAAAATTAAAGACCTATGAGCAAATGGGAACTGAATAAATTCAATTGAAAATATTATATCTATGCCTGAACTTCACTTTTTAATACCATCCTAAAAACAAAAGTTATCCATAAGTAGGATGCATTATTATTAAACATAGCTTAATTAACATAATTATTAATACGTTTGAGAATAAAAGAAATATGAAATTTATCAAGTAGCATTAAATATTTTACACTTATAATAACTGGACATATTTGAAAGAAGATAAGTGACATTTTAGTTACGTTTTACGGACAGTTAGCTTCTTTATTTTTAATGTCTCATTTCGTCATATACTTGCACAGTCTAGAGGTTTAGTAAATAGTAAGTAGATTTTATGTCAAGCAGCATAGGTTAAAATGAGCATTAAAATCATAATCAGCATGATTCATAACAAAAGACTGGCTGTTGTCACCGCTCCAAACCTGAAAGGTCTGATGTAGGCACAGTTAGTAAGTTTTGAAAGTTAGCTGAGCTCTGTCCGATGCAGTTAGTGTCGTAGCTTTGTGTAGAGTTCCAGGGCTTGTAACTCAGTTAATATACTTTAAGGTTCTATTAAGCTACTAAAGCACTAGAGGAGATAAGTTGTTTTGCATTATTTTAAGTTTCACAAGATGCGAAGAGTAAGTTTTACATGAATTTTTATATTTTTGTGTTTTACCTTGTGACCACTGTAAAGATTAATGAAAGGCAATATGCAAAGATAATTTTTAAGGGTAAGCACTTAGTTATAAGTAATTAAATTAGGTATTAGATAACCTTAGTCATATGGATTTACATGGACACTTAAATTAATTTTTTAATAATATTTGTTAAAAAAAACTTATTAATATCATAATCTAATAAAATTTCACAGTTTAAAATACAACAAATTCAATTTATGACATTGATTTAAACAATATTAGGATAATTACACATTAAACATTTATGTTTTGTAGCAACAAAACTCAACAAAATAATTATGCGTCTTTTTAATTTGAAATCCTGCCCAGACATTTTGGCTAATATATATCGATTTCCTTCTCCTTAAGCATCTTTTCTAACAATTAGTCAATATGCAAAACAACGTTCTCATTAGTTTCTGCCTTTTTTATCTCTTAACTGTCAACCTCTCCACAATGTACTGTACTACCTATGAGGGTTTACTTGATCTGGTAAAAGTTAAATAGTCCACCCCCCGACAAACATGAAACAAATTATGACTATGTGTAAAAGTAACTATAAATAAGACTTTGTTTAAAAAGAACTTAGAACATAAAGGCATGTTATTATGCTAACAAACTCAATTGCAGCTCGTGGTGATGTAATTAAACAAGAGTCAAAGTCAAGTGGTCAATTTAACTTAAATTTAATCTGGTTCAATAACTCTATCATCATAAAAAAACTCAAATATCAGCAGTGGTAATGGAAATTATCAGAGCTAATAGGAACTAATACAAGGAGCAAGTGGAGGTCGAAACCTCAGTTTAAAAACTGTCTCAGTGATTTGCAGTCTGGTGAGGAAATGGAAATGGGAAATTATAGTAAAAGCTGAAATTGTTATTAACTGGGCAATTTACATAATAATAACATAATAATCTCTGGCGAATAATTTTCTTTACATATATAGTTCGTTTCTTCAACATGTTTCCTTTTCACTTTAGAATTTTTGGATTTAATTAAAGATTTCTGTTATTCTAAAAGGGAAAATGCACTTAGAATGTATGGAAAAAGCTGTTAATTTTATTTCTTTAGTAATAGGAACATTCGGAAGAAATATGAAATACATATGATAAGGTCCGGTCACAGAGCTGGTGCGGCATAATTTTTAGAATTTAGTGACACACCGAGCAACAAAGTCTAGAAATGGCAAAACTTTTAGAATTTAGAGTTGGCATTGGAAGCAGAATTTAGAAAGGCACCAGGCAGCAGAATTTAAGATGCACAGAGACTGCATCAGGTGGCAAAATGCCTAGTGCCAGCCTTGTGTATGATGCATTAAGACATATTAAATGAATCTTTTGAATTATCAGTTTTCAATTTCTTTATTAATAAAAGAATTCCTTTGGTTCCTTTGTTCATATGAGAAGATTAGAAGCATTTTTGATATTTTCCATGCTTGTGTCTAGTGAAAAGTAAAGAAAGAGAAAACTGATGCATATTCTGAGAATTCCAAGAAATGGGGGAAAACTCTTACCATGACAAAAATTAAAGACTTTAATTAATTACATAGCTATTTCGTTTTTGCTAAAAACTGTTTCGTAATTAATTGCTAAAAACTGTTTCTTAAATTTGTTTAAAAATAGATTTTGTTGTGCTTTATAGCATTATATGTTGCTTATTTTTCAGATTCAAAAGATTGTATAATATGTGACCAAAATGAAACTTTATAATATGATAGTGAAAAATAAAAGTGCTTTATTTTAATGTTATTTCTTAAATACAATTCCAATACATTACCATTATTTCAATGAAATTTATCAGTGTTAGAATGTTCTAAAAAAGTCGCCAAAATTTTCCCAGATTTTGGAATTAAAAATTTTCCATAGAAACCGATCTTAAAATTGTCAAAATGTTGATAAGTCGCCAAATTTAGAACCATTTAATAAAAGAATTCACACTCACAAAAGCAGAAAGTTGTTTAATAGCTCTTCATTGCAAAAAATGAAATAATTTCAAAATGCTTATGTTTCACTTCTTGCTCAGAAACTCGTTATATTACAAATCGGAACAAATTATAACCCATGAACCCATTCGAAAAATAACCACATTTGTTAGTGAATCGCCAAAAATATTGCTGCAAAATGGCTAATTCACACTCAAAATGGCAGTCGTAAAAACAGGTAGGAATTTCAGATTATTAAAATTAAGGACTTTTAAGGACCAAAAATCAAATTCAAAAAACTTAAGGACCGTACAAACCCTTAAAATATGGACTAGTGATCAGAGTCAAGTGGTCAATTTAATCTGGTTCAATAACTCTATCATCATAATAAACTCAAATGCCAGCAGCGGTAATGGAAATTAACAGAGATAATAGGAACTAATACAAGGAGCAAGTGGAGGTCAGAAACACACGCTTGTCTTACACCCCAAAACAAAAATTCAGTTTAAAACTGTCTCAGTGATCTGCAGTCTGGTGACGAAATGAAAATGAGAAATTATAGTAAAAGCTGAAATTGTTAAAAACTGGGTAATTTACATAATAATAACTGCATATCTGTGAAGAATAAGTTTTTTTCTCTTTACATATTTAGTTCGTTTCTCCAACATGTTTCCTTTTCACTTTAGTTACATCTTTAATATTTTGTAAATTAAATGATTTAGTTTTCATTCCTTACATACTTTTAAAGCATAAGCATGTTTCTACTACTGCGATAGTCTACCGATTACTCACCTCCCCCAAAAAACTATACATCAAAATATTTATATATTTAGTTCAGAACAATTTAGAAACAATTATCTATAGTAAAGTTCTAACTGTATAACAGCACCCTTATAAAAACCAAAAATCACAGCACAATTTTCCTTCAGGTAACAAACAGTACTTACAGCAAATGGATTACTTGTATTTTTTGCAGCTGCTTCTCCAAGTTTGGAAAATTTAGAACAACTAAATTTACTGTGAGAACCAGCTCCCAGAATATTCTGCAAGATTCCCAAGCTTAGCACATCTTTTTTATTTTGAAGTCTGCGACCAAAAAAAAAAAAAAAAATTGCAAAATTTAGTGTCCATATAAAGTGAAAAATTACCACACTCTTAAACAATAAAACTGTCAAAATATGATTCAAAAATTACTTTCATACAATTGTATAATAAAGATGCCAATTCACAATAATATCATGAAACAATCAGTTGTTTTACATTTGTTTTTACAATTTATTTGTAGAAAATGTAAATAAGCTGAAAAGAAAAATACGCACATTCAAAATTTAAACAAACTACGAAATGCAGACTGTACAGAAAACATGCTGCAAAGTCTTGTCTATAAATCCTGTGCACTAAAATATTCTAAAATTTAAATAAGGAATAGCACTAATTTAGAAATAAAATACTGACCAATAATAACAGTTATTAATAGAAAAAAGCCTAAAATTAGTAAAACATTTCAATTTTCCTTTCTAACATGCTTCAAACAAACACTATTTTTTACGTTGCTTTTGATACAATGAAGCATAAAAAATTAAAAATTACCCAGCTCCTTCAGCAACAATGGCTGTATGCACACATGGAAGATCTGTCTCCACCCTTATTTCACCTAAAACATTTGCAAAATGAAAAGTCACACTCAAACATTTTTATGAATTTAAAACACTGCATAATATGAAAGAAAAATAGTATATGTCTGAAAACTTACAAAATGATTTATGAGGGTAAAAATATCTGAGAGGACATGTCCTTTTAACATTTTCAAAGTTTCCAGACAACTATTAACTCGTGAATTTCGTCAAAATTATGTCTAACAGACCAAATGAGCTTATGCTTACAAAATTTCAACAAATTTTAAATAAACATATGGAGTTCCTTTATTTTAGGATTGGCAGCACCTGGCTTTTCAAACCATTACTAATCTAAATCATTCATATATTTTTATGTTAACAAAGAGCTTACGTTTTTCAAAGTTAACAGATTACAATAGCTCTTTAAATGAATTCAGAATGAAAATATTTATAAAATAAACTGAACTTTTAAGTTTCTTTAACTGTATGTCAACCAGCCATCTAAAACACTGACGTCTTGTTCATGACATCACAGTGAAAATTTTAAAAGAAGGAATTATACAATATAAATTCTGAAATCCGGACATCCAATATCCAGAATGATCTAAAATCCGAACCTCAAAACACCAACAATGTTTTTCGCGTAGGCTTTATGCATGCACATTTAATTCCCTCCCTCTGCGCATAATAAAACATCTGGAAAGTCCTGATTCTTAATTTCACTTCGACACTAAATAAAATACCTTGTTATTGAAGAAAAAATCATTTTAGCATAAATTTGTACTATTAGTATTTTGGCTCTGTTACTGCATATCTGCTTGGCACACATCTTAAACCGAAACACTCCACATAGATACATCATTGATCTGACGCCAACCTGATAAATCATTATTTATTATACTTTCCTTTTATCACCGTATGTTTATCAACACATGGCAACTTAAGTAATGACTCATGTTGCGATGCCTAAACAATTTTTATACGTTAGTAATTGAATAATAAAGGAGTATGGTATCCTTTTATGTTGATATTACGCTTGGCGTATAGATTTAAGTTAAATGCGCTAAAAATGTTGACAAGGAAAAATTTAAGTAAAATTTCTTTCCATACACTAAAAATAGATTTTGTTGACAATACTCATAGACCCAAAGATTATATTTAGGGCTATATGAATTAAGAATAATGGATTTGTTATTCACATAAACCCATACCCAGCGCCAGGGCTCGTATGGCCACACCGAGTCACAGAATTTAGGACCCACAGAGACTGCATCAGGCGGTAGGATACCTAGTGCTGGCCCTCAATAAAGCTTAAGTATATGTGGGAATTTATTTATTCAGAACTCTATAAGCCTTAAGCATGTGAAGATAATAAAAAACTAATACAATTCAGGTTTAATTATCTCAGTGTGTGATAGAGCCAAGATGAAATTTAACGGAACAACTTGTTGTTAGTCGCCAAGCTCATGATGCACAGCCAAATATGTATAGTGATGGATAATTAAATTTCTTGATGATAGGCGCTAATTTTAAAGGTTTTCGGATATCGCAAAACAAAGGTGAAATTTTCCAATTAACGAATTTTGTAAATAAATGCGAAGAAGTGGTAATAAATGAAGATGATATAAAAGTTTTCTCATTGTGATGACAATGCTTCTCAATCATCAAACAATGAATGAATGGCGAAATCTGTAGTATGGTTCTAGATCAAGAAAATACCACTACCGATAGTGAAGAAAGTGACAGAGAAGTTACTGAAAATGAAAAGATTTCAATTGACATGTGGGTCGGAATCCTTGACACAGCAGTCACAGGACTTCAACAATGTAACTAAACAAGAGACTATGTCTGTCTACAGAATTAAAGAGAAAGCATTAGCACAAAAAATGAAGCAACTTAAACAGCTTACATTGACTGAAATGTTTAATAAGGTAAACAAATAAATATTAAGCTTTTTTTTTGCAAATTTTGATACCATTTAGATCATAAATACAATCATTATTTCATAAATTATGATTTCATATTTTTAATTTTAAAATTTCTACATGCCATCTTACTAGACTTAAACTTATGATCTAATATCCGGAATTGCCGAAGTCTCGACGTGTCCAGATTTCAGACTTTGTACTGTATTACATATCTGCCAACTTTTATGAATTTTTCATAATTTTCACAAAACTTTTCTTGTTTTATGATCTTATAAACAAAATTCATTATTTTACATACTTCAAAATTGTTTTACATGTGTAAAAATTGTACCAATCTGCATACAAAGTATGTAATTTTGGCTGCCACCAGGTTATCAGTTGCACTTATTCCCTTTTTTAATCAAAAACACGTGTTTTTCTTTTCTTCTTTTTTCCAATTGTGCTTTCCTCTGGCTTCTTATGAATATCCTGGTGGTGAAGACAAATTTTTTTACAGAAATTTTGATTATAAGTTTTTCAAATTTCAGACCTCTTTAGCAAATATGGTAAAGTTTTGATAACGTTAATATAATGATGAAGTAATAAAACTGCATTTTGCAAAAATAATAAAAAAAAAATCTTCATTTCCCTATATCATGTTTTAAGCTGTCTTAAACTTTTATTCTGGAGATTTTTTAATATAGAATAACATGCTTATAATGAGCTCTGATTTAATGAGGAAATCAGAAATAGTGGATTGGAACAATATTAAGTCTATGATAACTCACTTTTAACAAGCAATCCCCGGTTATAGCGAGCAATATTTTTGCAATTCATAAATTTCTACTGACTTCCACCTCTCCAGCTCATCTATATTTTCTTGGAAAATTTACTTTAACATTCCAAAGTCAATTGAAGATTAATGATGAGTCATAAATCCTGTGAAAACGTGATAGTATCTTTTTTCATTTTGGAGTGCGAATGTGAGGACATCCGATGATGACCTTGAGGAGATGGACAAAGGTGACAGAGATTGCTTATTGGACAGAAGTTTACTTTGCACAGGAGCGGAAGGGCAGGGGACTTGTGTGGAGGTCATTCTTTGATCTGCATTCCTAGAGTATTGCACTCATCAAATTTTATCTTGTGATGTCGAAATATAAAATTTTATCTGTTGATGAAAAAGTAAAAATTTTACAGAAATTAGAGGATGGCAAAGGACAAAAAAAATTTCCGTCATCTGCAAAATGTACGATTTATCTTCTACTGTTAAAGATCAAGGAAAAATTAATGGCTGTTTAATTAAAATAAAAATGACTGTAAACATTTGGAAAAAGCTCTTTTAAAGTAGATGAAGGTGCAACATAGTGTAGATTTTCTCGTAAATGTCCACTTTTAAAAGTTTAAGCAATGTTATCACTTCGAAGATACCTACTCCCAAGGATATTATAGCTGAAATTTCAGCTAAAGCAGATGAAAAAGTAAATAAAGCAACGACGATAAGAACGAAAGTAAAGAATTTCAAACTGAATTGTTCCAACATACCCAATTGTTTTTGTGTATGCAGAAAAACTTCAAAAATTTTTCAGAGGCAGGAGTGCAAATGGTAATGTTTTTCGGCTTAAGTTTCCTTGGAAGAAGAATAACACAAGAAAGAGATAATAAGACAAAGAGAATTAACTTTTCAATTGTAGAGAAGTAAAAAATAAAGTATATATAATATAGTAAGTATGCATGAATTTTTCACGAACCTGTTTTTTATGAGCACTTGGTTATAATGGGCATATATTATGGTCTCTTAACACTCATTATAAGTGAGTTTGATTGTATTTTATTTCTGATAAGATAATAGATGTTATAAAGCGGATTTCCCAAATTACTTTTTTAGGGAGAACAGGGAGATTCTATAATTATATTAAAATTCTTCTCTTTTATTTAATTTATACTTATTATACAAATTATGCAAGGTAATTACAACTCATATTTAAAATTATGCAAGATTTTAAAAAAATTTGACAGAAGGGTCTGAAATGATTTTTACACTTAGTAACTTATCATGTAATTAACATATGGTATAACTGTAAAAGAATGAAGAATAAATTTAACTATATCATATAATAATAATAATTAACCCTTACGTTTTTAATTAGTTATCACTCACTTCTTTTGGTAAATTTGGCAATGTAATCACTTTTTCGTTGTGACTAGTTTGTAAATATATTTTTGTGGCATGAATTATTGACTTTTTGCTGGATCAGATATAGCGAACCAAATTTATGTACCTTTGAACTTTATTGTAGTGGAGTTCAAATGTATTTATACCCACATTCTCTATATTTATCTGGTAATAAATGCTTTGCATGAGCTTCTCTTGACTGATTCCGGTTTCATTATTTTATCACATACACTAACATATTACCCCTTCCTTTTCACTAACTTTAGCCTTGCAAATCAAGACTGCAAAATTTCCAATATTGAGTAGACAGCTTAATGGATGAACTCTGCCCATCAAAGTGCATATTGTAAATATGAATAGATATACCAGTACTACACGCTCTGTACACATTTCTGCAGATAGAAATTAAGTAGTTTTACAGACCATCAATGAAAAAAATTAAGGACCTATCAGCAAGTGGGAATTAAATAAATTAAAACAATTATCTACATCCAAACTTCATTTTTGTAATAACATTCTAAGAATAAAACAGATGTCTAAGTATAGAATGGATAAAAGAAAACAGTGAAAAGAAGAGAAACTAAAGGTAATATAAAAATGTTATGAAAAAGACTTTGAGGATTAAAGGTTAAAAAAAACTCAAATAAATTTTTCATCATTTTTTCAAAAAATAAGAAATTCATGCCAATACGCCATAAAACTTAAAGCTACTTTTAAAAAATGAGATTAATTTAACAATGTAATTTTTAATTTTACTTTCTATGCACAGCAAAATGGAACACCCCACACCATCAGGGGAAAATAACACTCAATTTTAGGGGAAAATAACATTCAATTTTGCTATCAGAGCTCCTTTATTTTCATACTATTCACCATTTCAAATCAAAGCAAGAATACTGATAGTCAAGGCAATAAGAATATCTGCATATGTTAAACTATGATGCATGTTACACCAATTAAAATTGCTATCCGCAATTAAATGGAAAACAAATACGAATCAATAGCTTGAAATCCAGTTGGATTGATTGTCTAATGACAGTGGGATTTTTGTGAGACTAAGAAGCCTCATAAAGATATTCAATTTCTTTCAGTATTTCCGAAAATTTACATTTTTAAACATATTTTTGGCATAATTTTAAAATCTAAATTGCAATTAAAATGCATACCTCCTGAAAATTTTGTAGCTATGTCACTTCCAGAGGAACTGCTGCTCACATGAAGAAATTTGTTGACACAGTTCTGAAGATGTTCATGAGATACTCCAAGGCCAACCACCGATGTACGTGAAGTAGCAAAGTTTTCTTTTACGAACGTGTGTAACTAAAAAATTTACATTTATATGCATGTGTGTGAACATAAAGATACATTTCCAAAATTTTATCAAGCAGTACCCAATTATGCATTACATTTTGAAAATTATTTTATTAAATATTTTACTAGTTACCATATTTTAGAAGCTGAATTAATATATAACGAACATAGATAGGAGAACATACAATCATTTATTACTTTATTACCTGATAGAAACATGAATAGGAAATACTGAAAACAAAAAAATTCAACCTAAGACTCAGATGCATGACTATCATTCAAGGTGTTTAAAACACATGGCTACAGACTTGGTTATTTCTTTGAATGTTGATCCTGCACATACACTTCCATTATTCAAAACAAAGAATTTCATGAAGTTTTTTAAAATGGAGCATCGAAAAGCTCTGTAAGCATAATTTTTTTTTTTTTTTTTTGGTTCCAAAGGAGTAAAAATCTCAATTTATAAAATATTCCAATTTGAGGAAAAAAATATCTTTTACGCATTAAATTTCTGGAGATATTTAATAGTGAATTTATTATGCTGATTACTTCAATGCCTATTTGCCAAATGATACTGAAATTTTTAGACCAAACTTGGAGAACAATTACAAAACATGCTTCGTTATTAAACTTGAAGTTGATTCTGTACATGTATTAATTTTGAGGAATTTTGCAAATGCTATTCAGTGCAAACTCCGAAATCTTCACGTCCATTATCCGGAATGATCTAAAATCCGGACCTCAAAACAACCAAATTTTTTATTGTACGCTTTATGCATGTGCATTTGATTCCCCCCTCCTTGCATAATAACACATCTGGAGACTCCCGATTCTTAATTTCACTTCGATACTAAATAAAGTACCTTGTTATTGAAGAAACAATCATTTTAGCATAAATTTGTATGTTCAGTAATTTGGCTCCGTTGCTGCATTCAAACCAAAACATTCAACATAGCTACATCGTTGATCTGACACCAACCTGGCGAATCATTATTTATCATACTTATTTATCATTTCATCACCACATGTTTATCAACACATGATAACTTGAGTAAATGACTCATGAAGTGATGCCTAAACAATTTTTTTATGTTAGTAATTGAATAAAAAAGGACTATGGTAACCTTTTATGTTGACACATTAGGCTTGGCAATGATTACAGATTTAAGTGCGCTAAAAAATGTTGACAAGGAAAAATTTAACAAAAATTTCTTTCCGTATGCTAAAAACAAATTTTGTTGACGATATTCATAGACCCAAAGATTACATTTAGGGCTATTTTAATTAAGAATAACTGATGTGTTATTCACATAAACCCAGAACCAGCATCAGGGCTCATAATAGACATAAGTATAATAAATAACTACAATTTAAGCTTAATTTATTGTCTCAGTGCATGATAGAAGCAAGATAAAATTTAATGGAACAACTTGCCGTTAGTCGCCAGCTCATGATGCATAGCCAAATATGTATAGTGAACGATAGCTAAATTTGATGATGATAGGCGTGAATTTAGGTTTCTGGATATCTATCACAAGACAAAGGTGAAATTTCCGAATTAATGGATTTTGTAAAGATATGTGAAGAAGCAGTAATAAATGAAGATCTTATAAAAAGTTTTTCATTGTGAAAAAGTATTTCATTGCCGAAGTCCCGATGGGTCCAGATTTCGGACTTAGTACTGCACAAGAAAGGACACAACTTTTTGTAATTAACTTCCTAAACCAAACCAATCATTGAGTGAATTTTTATTCTGGTATGAAAATGATAAGGATCAATATAATAAAGTTTGCACGTCAATTTTTAACACCCTATACATTACAGTGTGGTTATATTTACATACCCGCCAACCTTATAATAGTAAAGATTTCTGGAAAAACAATTCAGAACATGGAACACAAAATTTTGCAGAATCTCAGTAGAGCACCATGCAGCAAAAATCAGAGATGGCAAAATGTTTAGAATTTAGAAGAGGCACTGGGCAGTGGTGGCAAATTTTATAGAAATTGAGCAAGAATTGGAGAACCACAGGTTGCACCAAGCAATAAAATGCATAACACCAGCCCTGGCACCCCAACCACTCAAGGGCTAAAACCATGACCTTGTCTAACATCAACCAATATGTTGTTACTGGCTGTGGCACAAGTGTTTGAAAGAAACAGGCAGGAATCTCAGAAGAAAAATTGCATTTACAGCACACCTGCTTCTCTTTGTTGAATTTCTCCATGTCTAGATTTTTACAGAGGGGACTTTCATTGTATTAATTTATTGATTTTTTTTTTTTTTTTTTTTTTTTTTTTTTTTTTTTTTTTTTTTTTTGGCTGGTGGTCCAGATTTTAGACTTTAAGCTTATTTGGCAATCAGGACATTGGCAAGAATTTAAATTGTCAAAGAAGAGCTGGCCTATCATTTTTTCAACAATGCTAAAAATGAACCCATATTCCACTTTCCTGTGAGTTATCGTTATACAGCTTTCAGAATTAAGAGATCCTGTCATGTTTAGGAGTTCTATCTACTGTACGCATTTTTCTTGTGAAACTAACCAAGCAAACAAATATCTTCATGCTGTAATAATTCAAATTCCTATTACATAACGTTAACATTTTTGCCATTCATTCCATGCTATATAATTTTTCTTTTGATCTTTTTATTATCAGCAGAAATGGAAATTTATCCAAAAATTATCCAACACTATTAAAAGAAGACTTACAACTTTCTTTCAAATTAGGATTTTCTGCATTATTTAATGCTTCACTTTCAGTGGGAAATTTTTGAGAATTTAATTACATGCAGTTTCAAAATACTGTTGAACAGATGGAAAATATTCTTTTTTTTTAAATCATTATATTTTTAATTTTTTAACAATCTCAAGTAGTTTCCAAATGATGGTAAGAAATTTGTCAGATCATTGAGTTTTTGTTAATGAAGACTTGGAAAAATTTAATAAGTCCTTGCAATATCTCTTCTATTTTCTATGGAATATGATTCTTTGAGGATGCAGTCTGTAACTGAAAACATCTCTTCAAAAGCAGAAATAAATGATAATAAAAGTACAACAAAAGGTTTTGTTTAAATCAGATGAAGAAAATGGGGGGGACTCTTTCAGAGAAAAATATACTTCTCCATTCATTTTGATTTTCTTGGGAATAGGTTTATCATGACATGATTTCTTGTCTTTTTCAATAGTTTTCAACTCATTTAATTTCACTTCTTCGAGAAAAAAATTAAGTGGATCCCACTGCTTTCTTAGCCTTTCTAATGCTCTAAAGCAGCAATTCTCAACAAGTGGCACGCAAGAGAAAAATAGTGATACACAAAGCAACAAAGTACCTTTAACAATCATATTCAAAAATTAATAAATACCCCAATATCCTGTTCAAGTTTCTTCTCCAACACTTATAAATTTATGCGATTTGAGCTTTATTCAAAGTTAATAGCCACTCGTAGACGTTAGCTAAATAATCTGTTTTTATTTTCACAAATATTCTTTTAGCCATAGACATAACAAAAGTTGTCATAAATCTTGTTTTAAAAGGAGTAATAGTTACATTGTAGGATGTTGTATTTACTAATAGCAGAATGTTGTATTTAATAAGAAAAAATATAGCTTCCTATAAAAAGATAATAGTATCACATTAATTCTTTCAGAGTTGATCGATTTATTTGCATGCCTCACTGTACGTTGCCACCATTTCTCAGCTCTATTTTCAATTAGAATCATTTTTTTTACTTCGATTTGCTGTCTGTAACAGGAGGTATTTTGTCATCTTGTTGCTTTGAATTCCTTAATTTTCTACACCATTTGAGAATCCCTTATTTCTGAAGAACTCATTATATATTGTGCATTTAAATAAAATAGTAAAACAAAACTAGGTTTACAAAATGGAAAAATGGCTAGGATTGACAAAGCAGAAAAATGATGATTCACAAATAATGATCCAGGACACTACTAGCGCTAAGAAAATTGAAAAGAAATGAAAAATTGTTTATGAAAAATATAATGAGTTAATTATCATTTGGGTTTCCTTGGAACTGAGATGAATAGACCCTTAACCTCAATGTATTGTTTGCAGTTAACTATGATCGAATCAAAGTATGAAACCATCATTTCTTAAAACACATCTTGAAGCACGTTAATTTAAAGGATATATCTGAAAAATATTTTGGGATTAAATTATTGGAGTTCAAAAATAGCAAACAATTAATGATTTTTTAAAATTTAAATAGCAAACAAATAATGATTTTTTTAAATTTTTCATTATAAATTTAAGTGAAAAAGCTTTGGAAGCTAGTTACCTAGTAAGCCCAAGAATTGCCAAGTCTGAACATGCTCATACTATTAGAGAAAACCTTACATTACCAGCAGCTAAAAACAGTATTTTACTGTTTTAATATTATTCAATGAAGCAGCATTTTTACTGTTTTAATATTATTCAACGAAGCAGCTAATAAAACTTAATAATATTCTGTTACCAAATAATACAGTAAGTTCGCTAAGTCATGAAATAGCAAATTTCATAAAAGAGACACTTATTCAAAAACAAAACACGGTGAATATTTTGCATTGCAACTGGATGAAAGTACTGATATAATGAACTTTCTTCAATTATTAATTTACATACGTTTCGAAGAAGATAAACAAATTGCCAAAGAGTACTGATTTTGTGAATCTTCATGATAGAGCAACTGTAAATGAAATTTTCAAAGTAATTCACAATGTTGTTCCTTGAAATAAGTGCATTGCCATATGCAGTGACGGAGCTCGGGCTTTAACCTGTTCAGTACGGGCGTGTCATATACGCATCAGCAGCAAATGTTACCTCACGACCGGGTGTGTCATATTTAAATCGCCATCGAGTTAACTCCATGGCCGGGCGTACCACATTTGACTTTTTAAAAAGAACATTTAATTAGTATTTTTTATTGCCACTAGATGTAGCTGTATGTCTGTTATGGTAAAATATATCGAAAGTTATGTTATGTTTACCTTCATTTCTATTTAATGTTTT